TCTCCTTCTTAGTCTCTTCCTCCTTCCCTCCCTCTCTCCCATTGTCCCTTGCTTCCTTCCCTCCCTTAATCTCTTCCTCCTTCCTTCCCTCTTTCCCATTGTCCCTTCCTTCTTTCCTTCATCTCCTTCTTAGTCTCTTCCTCCTTCCCTCCCTCTCTCCCATTGTCCCTCTTTTCTTTCCTTCCTTTCCTTCCCCTCCCTCTTAGTCTCTTCCTCCTTTCCTCCCTCTCCCCTTGTCCCTTCCTTCCTTCCTTCCTTCCTTCCTTCCTTCCTTCCTTCCTTCCTTCCTTCCTTCCTTCCTTCTTCCCTTTGTCTCTTCCTTCCTTCCCTCTCTCATTGTCCCTTCCTTCCTCCCCCCTCCCTGCCCAGGAAGGGACAAGCGTGGCTGGTGGCTTTGCTGCCGGTGGCCATGGCGACATGCCAAACCTACCTGTGCACAGGCAGAGGCAGAGGAGAGCTCCGCCCAGCTCCCTTGCTCAGCTTCGCCAGAAAACTGTTAACTTGCTAAGTTAGCAGAAGCGCCAGGATCAGCGCTGGGCTACAGCTGATTCACGCTTCTGCTAAATTAGCAAGCGGCATATTTTCTAGCAAAGCTCGAGCAAGTTTGCTGGGCAGGAGCCAAGGAGAGCTGCTACAGCTGATCTGCTTCTGGGCTGCTCTGCAGAAGCGCGGATCAGCTGTAGAGGCTCGCCCCGATCCTGGACAAGAGGGAAGGAAGAAAGGATGGAAGAGACAAGGGGAGAGAGGGAGAGAAGGAGGGACAAAGAGGGAGGTGAAGGAAAGGAAGGAAGGAAGGGACAATGGGAGAGGGAGGGAAGGAGGAAGAGACCAAGAGGGAGGGAAGGAAAGGAAGTTCCAGCTAGCAGACGCTTGGCAGCCCGGCTGCCAAGGAACAGAAGAGCGCAAAGCCAAGAAGAAGGTGGCAGTTTCCTCCCAAAGGGGGTTCCTTTTCTCCACCCCTTTCCTGGGTTTGTGGGGAATTTCTCGTCACCAACGCTAACAGGTGCTCCTTCGAGCCCGCCGCGAGCTTTCTCGCCCCTTTTGCTTCTCCGCCCCCCCGCTTTTGTGAGGATTGTGGCGCCCTTGGGAAGTTGATTGTGCTTTGAAGCTTAGGAGAGGAGTCCCTTCCTCCTTCCTTCCCTCCCTCTCTCCGTCAAGCCCCGGCAGGCTCGACATGAACGGGCGGAGGAGACGAGGACGGGCAGGGTGGCAAAGGAGACTGGCGGCCATCACCAGACCTCCCGGCTGACAAGCGCAAGTTTGGGGGTCGCCAGCTGACGGGCGGAGTTGGGTGCTGCGGCGGCCTCCCCTTCGCTGACCTGCGTGCACGAGAAGTCAATCCGGTTGCTGCACAATGAGTCTCTGGGGAGGGCAGGGCCTTGCTCTGCGCCTGCGCTCTTCAAGCGCCCCCTGCAGGGCACATTTGGTAGAGTTCGTGCAGACTGCCGCCAAGCAGCATATTTTCCACAAACAAGTGAGGTGGAGTAGTGGGGGGGGGGGGAAGAGAAGGCAGTTGACAAGCCCTGCCTAAGACCATTGGAAATATGTGTTTTCCGATGGTCTTAGGCGACCCCTGTGAAAGGCTTGTGCGACCCCCCAAAGGGTCGCGACCCACAGGTTGAGAACCGCTGGCTTAGAGGGCTGTAAAGCACCTTGAAGCGTTTTATGTCTAAGTGCTATTGCTGTTGCTTCCCAAGCCAGAATCTTACTTAATCCATCACAATGATGGGCCTTCCCAGCTATCCAGGGAGGTACCTGGGATCAATCTGGGGACCTGCTACTTCGGCTGCTGGACCTTCGATTTATAACCACGCCGGCCATCGTGAGCAGCTTCCTGAAGATCTGCAAGAGAGGCTGCCAGTCCCGATGCCCAAAAACAGGAGCTGATGTCACGGAGCTCAACAAAAATGAAAAAACAAAAACAAACGGAAGGTCCAAGTTCTTTATTCTGCATTAATACATTGCAATTGCTTTGACAGAGTCCAGCATGTAAATACTACAGAGGGATGCCCCCAAAGAGGCGTTTGCCACCTTGGTGCAGGTTTCCTTAAGTGAAGTCTAAATCCTTTTAACTTTTTTTTTCTTAAAAAATACATTAAAGAACGTACCACACACATATTGCACTTGTCTCCATAGTAAAAGATTGTGGAAACCCTCCCCCCACCCCCCCTCGCCAATTGACCTCTCACCAAAGTCTCTTCAAAGGGACCTGCGTTTTGAATGGATAAAGCTAGTCGTTTCCTAAAAACAGTGGCGTTCACAAACCCCTCAAAGGGACCCACACAGTCGATTGGACTGAAGCGACTACTTTGAATGAGCTGGAACACAAGAGGAAGGGGTGGCGTCCTACAGGCAGGGCGAGTCTGGCTGGGAAAACACACTTTCCCCCGGATCGCTGTCGTTGGAAAGACACCAGAGGTTGCGAAACACAGACTGTTCAGCAGAGGGAGAGATGGAGGGGTGTGTGTGTCTAAACTAGCTTTACATTCAGAGGTTCAGTCCCAGAACAGGGGGAAAAAATAACACCCCCCCCTGCCCAGAGAACGAGGCTGGGTCACTTGGTGGTCCTGAATCTGCCCCAGATGGCTACAAGGTGGGCTCTGGAAGCACAGATGGGAGCCAGACCAGTTTGGTTGCCTGGCTGACTAGCCTTCAGTAAACCTGGCCAGGAACTCAACAGTCCTCTCCAAGCCCTCGTGGAATAAATCTCTGGCAAAGAGGTACCTGCTCACAGGTTTGCTACCCGTGAAGTCGGGGGGGGGGGGGTTGCACAAAATCAGCAGCCTTCTGCACCAAGGCAGCCCCTGGGATGCTACAAAAAAGCGCGTTGGCTCCTTAGGTGAGTCGGCAACGCAGCCACCGGTAACCCGTGCCAGGCCCAGCAGGGTTCTTGGTAGCTCAATCCAGTCTGCTGTGATGGGCTGAGGGGTCTTCCTCCGTGGATCGAAGAGGGGAGGAAGGGCTGACCTGGGCTACATTCCTCACCCTGCTCGCTCCGATTTCCCCAAGATGGTCAGCTGGGAGGGTTGATGGACTTCTTCCTGCAGTTTGCAAGGAAGTTAGGCTGGGACGATCTCTTCCGACTCGTGGAATGCACAAGAGATCCCGTGGAAGAACAGGCGGCAGACAGAAAGTTTTCACGCTCTGTTGGGCGTAAAACACCTGGGGGGGAAGCACCCCCCAAAGCCACAAGCCCAGCCCCATGGGAAGCTGGATTCTTTCTCCAAGAGGTTGGAGCTGAGGGCAAAGGGAAGCAACCTCACCATCAGGATGGGCCACCCATCCCCCAGGCTGCCCCAACTCAAGCTCTTCCTGGGCCACTTCCCGATTAGACCCGGTGGGTGTTATTTCATGGAACTGATTTCTTGTTGCAAATTTTGGAGAACCACTCCAGGGATGATTGTAGTTGACAGAGAACACCATCAGCGGGACAATGTATTTCTCTTCTTTGAAACCGGTCAATAGTTTTAAAACAGATCAGAAGAGATCTCCCCCCAAATTTTATTGCAGTTACCCTAGAACTGTGGTTTTCAACCATGGCCATTTTAAGATGGGTGGACTTCAACTCCCAGAATTCCCTAGCCGGCATAGCCGGCTAGGGAATTCTGGGAGCTGAAGTCCTCCCATCTTAAAATGGCTGAGATTGAAACATGTTGTCCTACAGCAGTGTTTCCCAAACTTGACAATTTTAAGGCATGAGGACTTCAACTCCCAGAATTCCACAGTCAGCGTTGCTGGGAGTTGAATTCTGGGAATTGAAGTCTACATGCCTTAAAATTGTCAAGTTTGGGAAACACTGTCCTACAGCATCAAATGGGCCAGCAAATCACCAGAATGGATCATCGGACCAAAACCAGAGGCCTCCCCTTGCTTTCTACTGGGCTATTTTGCTGGGTGACCCTTTTTTGTGCTTAAAAAAAAGTTGGAGGTTGTGCTTCAATTTTTACCCAGTTCCCGTAGAAGTCTCCAAATGCTCTGCCTGAAATGCTCACCTCATCTCCTCTTCAAATAAGTTGGAAGTATATTTGTGTCTTTCCTAGAAAGGCCAATGCTTTTACAGAGCAGACACCTGTTGACGGGATGAGCGAGTCGACGGTTACCGATCCTAAATATTGCTGTAATACTTTTTTTGAAAGGAAAATTAAAATCAGGTCTCTAGATGAGTGAGTCAGAAAGAGTTATGGGGGGGGGGGAGAGAATCACGAAACCCGCATTCCACACGGTGGAACCCGGTCTCTGAAGGGACTTTGGTGTCAGCCTGGACAAGAGATGGGGTGGTTTCTTTTAAAACTTCAGAAATTTTAAAAAAGAGAGAGAAAGAAAGGGTGTTAGAAAGAACCGAAAAAAAGGCACGGCACTATCACTTCACATGGGTTTTCTGATAAGCTTATTCTGCTTTGTCCTTAACACTACACCCCTAAATAGTTGCCCAAATATGCAAAGCCTAAGAACAACCACCGACGCACTCTTGAAGTCCAAGTAGTTTTGCTTCCTCTAAAAAAGAAAAAAAAAATAGCTACAAAGGGCAGCCTAGAACAATTTGTCCAGTGACAAAGTTCTCCTCAAGTTTGCTGATGCTGCTTAGCTTCAGACTCCTGGACCGCTTTCCCTGCTGATCCCTGGAGGACCTCGACAACCCTAGACGTTAACTCCAAGACGGATTTCCATTTCGTCGACAACCCAGGGAGTCTGTGAGAGGTGCAAAGATTCGGAGTTCCCTGCAAGTCATCCGGCCAACGAAGTCCAAAGAGTTCTTGCAAGTCCTCTGAAGAACATCTCCACAGGGGTAAGGAACTCTGGCCCTCTTGTGACTTGTGGGGACTTCAGCTCCTAGAATGGCTGGCTCAGAAATTCTGGGAGTGGAAGTCCACAAGTCGTCAAGGGGGCCAGAGTTCCCCACCTCTGACCTACAGCCCAGCCTAGCTTAGCGGACCAATTCTCAATGCCCTGGGCATCCTACATTCCTGACTGGCTTCCGTGTCGAAGACATCTCGGCCAAATTCCAATGAAAAAAAAATGTATTGCTTTTATTGCCAAGTATGGTGTAGAGCAAATTCACTGCTCTTCCTGAATTCTCCCAGGTTTCCTCTGACAGAGGCGAGTAGAATACGAAAGATTTCTTCCTTCTCCCAAGCGGGTGGGTCTCCTTCCCTTCAAAGCAGTTCTTTGTTCTGGGGAAGGTGCAGGGTCTGCCTCCAGCCCCTCCGGCTCTCCCGGGAAGGGAGACGTGGCCCTTCTCCGCTAGTATCAGTTCAGAGAGTTTAGATCGTCATCCGTGACGCTCAAGGATCGGGAGAAACCGCCGGGGAGGCGGGAGACAGAGCACAGATGGCAATCCACAGCCGTGGTGTGACTCGACTTCGACCCGCCGTCCTCTTCTCCAGAAGGCTTCCCAAGCTGCTAGTTCACCAAGACATAGCCTCCGTGTTGGGGATCCACCGTCTCCATCATTTCGCAATCCAAGAGCCCCGGCAGCTGGGCAAGGTTTAAGGTGTCGTAGCTGGACTGAGAGCCAGGAGGACCTGAGGCCCTCTGGACACTGCCCACGGCTACACCACTCTGCTGGCCGGGGTCCAGGGGATACTGAGGCTGGCCGGCATAGTTCAGGTCAGGGGAGAGGCCAAGTAGCTCTTCGCAAGTCTGGTAGGAATACTGCGGCTGGGAGGGTGCTGGCAGGGGAACCTGGGAGGAGCCGTGGAGGGCGGGAGGAGGTTGGTGGTCAAGATGGAGCTTCTGATACTGGCTGAGGAAAGGGTCATATTGCATGTCTTCGGCAGACGGAGGCTCCATGACGGGGCTCAAGGCCTGCACCAGGCTGAACTGGGGAGGAGGAGGAGGGGGATCCTCATGGCAAGGGAGGGGCAGCTGGCCGGATCTGGAGTAGGTGCTCTCAGCGATCTGCATCTGGTTGAAGTAAGTCTGCAGCTGGGATTGCTTCTGGAGAAAGAGGTGCTTCTGATACAGCCTAAATTAAGAGAGGGAGAATTGTCAGTCTGCTTGCCCATAAGCCAGGGGTCTCCAACCTTGGCAACTTTTAAGACTTGTGGACTTCAACTCCCAGAATTCTGGGAATTGGAAGTCCACAAGTCTTCAGACCTTTGGACTTGGAGTCCCAGAATTCCCCGGTCAGCCATGCCTGCCGGGGAATTCTGGGAGTTGAAGTCCACCTCCCCCAAGCTTGCGGCTCACCTGTGCTCCTGCAGCTGCTGTTCCAGGCTCCGAGGTATCTCCTTGCAAAACACCTGGCACACGTGCTGGGCTTTTGAAAGCAGGCCGGGCTTCTGGGAGAAGGAGGAGGAGAAGGGGAAAGGGAAGGAGGCGAGACTGCCATGGAAGTCTTGAAAAGGCAGATGAATTTGTGGGTTGGATCTAAGACTCCCCTCCCCCCCTTCTGACCTGGGGAGGAGGCAACCCCTCCCCTCCTGCTCCCCGAGTGTGGCAGTGGGAGGAGAACCCCCCCCTGCCCTTTTCCATGAAGTGGATTTGAAAAAGGAAAGGCAGCCATCCCTTAAGGCAGTGTTTCCCAAACTTGACCATTTTAAGGCATGTGGACTTCAACTCCCAGAATTCCACAGCCAGCGTTGCTGGCTGTGGAATTCTGGGAGTTGAAGTCCTCATGCCTTAAAATGGTCAAGTTTGGGAAACACTGCCTTAAGGCTTTCCAGGAAGGCAACACATACCTGAAGCCGGTGCTGCAAATACTGCGTTTCTAAGCTCTGGCGCCTGGCGAGCAACGGGGGATGGAGGCTGCTGGGGAAGGTGGAAGCCGCCTCCTGTGGTGACGACGCCTCTTCCTGGAGGGAAAAAGAGGGGGCGGCAAACACCTTATTGGCCAAATGATCTCCCAGCTGCTTGGAGCCAAAGGCGGACTCAGAAACGTTCAGAAATGCAAGGTAACTAATCAGACTCTTTAGGAAGGGGGAAGAACATTGAATTCAAAATAACCCCATCCACCCATCCCACCATCAAACGTTCAGACTGCATTTCTGTGGCCTGGAGGAGGCAACCGCACAAGGTTTGAGCTGAGGTTCTGGCCATCAAGAGGACCTCCAGATCCTCAACCTCTAGACTGGCAGGAATGGCACCGGACGGTGCCACGTTTCAGGCCCAGGTGAATCAAAAGCTGGTGCTTGACGTGCTACAGCTTCCATCATCCCTTGGTATCTACATCTATCTAAACCACTTCTCCGATCCCCAATATTCAGAATTTGGGAAGCTGGGACCCTGCTGGTTGGGGGTGGGGGGGACTTAAGACATCTGCACACCTTTGAAGGTAGCTTCAGAAAGAAGTTGGATTATGTATAGTGTAGGAGCTCAGTGGCTCCAGAGAGCCCCAACCCAGGTGATGAAGGACGTACCTGCTGGGAGCCACCCTCAAGGTCTGGCAAGTGAGGAGAAGCTGATTCCAGAGAAGGTTCATCTTCTGACCTCATCTGGTCATACAACATCTGGACTTTGTTCAGCTCCAGGATTCCTTTGGTTCTGGCCAAGTTCTGAAGGTGTTGTCTGAACGCTACGATTCCTGTTGGGAGGGTAAAGAGCCGAGTGATTCCAAAGTGATTTAAGGACCTTTAAGGACCTTTTCACAAGCATGGTGACCAATTTCTGCATTCTTTTGGTTTCTGCTGCAAGTTTGCAAGAGACCACCCCAAAGCCCCTTTGGCCAAGTCAAGGCATCACGGCCCCAACTCCTGCAGCCAATGGCAACCAGGCTTTGGCCATCAAAGACTGTCGGTCCCTCTGATGCCACTCAACCCACAGCAGTTACCTTGCGTCAGGGATGTGTCCGAGGCTCTGCGCCCCTCCCGAAAGCTGACCGGGGAACGATTGTGGATCTCCCGTTTATGGGCAGCCAATGCCTGCATAGCTGGATTAGGCGGTCTCAGGCCAATGAAAGGAGGGGTCATCCTCGGAGCTGGTGGGTTGGCCAGAACCATTTCCTTCAAGGAGGAGGTGTCTTCCAGGAAGTTTAAATCCCTCTGGATAGATCCCATGTCATATTCCGAGTCAACACTGCTCAAGGATTGGTTCTCATCCATGGAGAAGACTTTTCCTTCAGCACCCAAGAAGAAGCACAAGAAACAGAATTAACCATGATCCACCAGGGCCGTTATGTCTAGAAAGGCAAGCGGATCACTTTGTGAGGCCTACAAGGAGAGTCTTCCCAACTCTTGGCCCACATAAGCTACTCTTGACTTGAGTGGGCCAATGAGGATGAGGCCAATGTTTCTCCTCTAAAGCTTCTTCTAATGCAGGGGGCTCCAACCTTAGCAACTTGAAGACCTGTGGACTTCAACTCCCAGAATTCTCCAGCGAGCCTGGGGAATTCTGGGAGTTGAAGTCCACAAGTTGCCAAGGCTGGAACTCCTGCGCTAGAGAATAGTGGGGCTCATAGAGGCTTAGAAGACCTTGACTGAAAAAGGCTGCTCTAAGCATGGCTGGCTGGGGAATTCTGGGAGTGCACAAGTCTTCAAGTTGCCAAGGTTGGAGATTCCTGCTCTAATGGACCCCAGTTAGTTACTGACCTCTGAACACAAGGAGACCGAAGCAGGATGTCCAGAAGAATGAAATGAACGTAGGCCCCCAGCTGAGGCCTGAGTCCTGCTTCCAACTCAGCCAGAGCAGAGCCCACCACCCTACTCCCCCATTTAAGAGTCGCCTGCATCCTTTGGAGATCTCAACCGGGCCTTTGAAACCTTGTTTAAGCACTCTGTGACCTGGCCTCACGTTCAAGCCTGCTGTCTCTCTAGGACCTGGAAAGTCAATAGTCTACTGGAAACGCAACGACACACATGAATTGCTTTATGGGGATGACCCTCCTAAAAGGAGTCATTGGCTCAACAGCGATTTTGAGAGCGCTCTCCTACTGATTTCTCCGTTTTTTTTTTTCCCCAAAGCGTGGGCAGGCCTTCCCTCTTGCAGACACCTAACATATGCCACAAAAACGTGCAAGCGGAGACATGTGAACCGAGAGAAACTTGTTCTCTTTGAGGGCTTTTCTGTTTGCTACCAGCACCGTGAAGCCCTTGCCAGCTGGTGGCTTCTGAGCTGACACTGTCTGCTCTTCCCAATCTTTGCAGCCTGTCGTGAGATGGCTTGGCAAAGCAAGCAGCCGCCATCTGCACCGTTGCTCCTCGGATCTTCCCACAAAGCAAATTCATGGCTGGTTCCAAGGCAGGCAGAAGACTCACGGGTCCTCCGTTCTTGACAGTTAAATTCAAGTGGGACGTAAGACGGGTTAGGTTTAGGGTTTGCAAGAAGAGATTGGACAACCATTTGTCTGAAATGGTCTAGGGCAGAGGTCTCCAATCTTTTGGGCACCAGGGACCGGTTCCATGGAGAGAGGTTTTTCCATGGACCGGAGAGTGCGGGGTTTTGTGTGCTGCCTGCATCCCACGGATGGGGTTTTGCTTATTTGTGCGGACCAGTTGCTGGCATGCCGCAGCCCGGTGCCAGTCCACGGACCGGGGGTGTCCAACTGCTAGTCTGCAGGCCGTATGCGTCACGCAGAAGCTGTGCCCATCCCAGCTCCGGCAAGGGGAAAAAAGTCACGATACGTCGCTTGATGCGACGAGTTTGACCCCCCTGGTCTAGGGCAGTGATGGCAAACCTTTTAGAGACCAAGTGCCCAAACTGCAACCCAAAACCCACTTATGCATTGTCGGGTGCCAGGTGGGTGTGGCCCATTGGGTGGGCGTGGCTGCGGTGGTAACGGCAGACTGGTGGGACTAAAAAGTTCAATCAATCAATTCCAACTTTGAAATTGACTGATTGAACCTTTTTTTTTTTTGCACACGGCAGCGGAGGCCTAAAGCGAAAAGGTTTTATAAAACCCAGCTGAAGGCCTAGGACTGGGGCGACAGCACGCGTGCCCACAGAGAGGGCTCTGAGTGCCGCCTCTGGCACCCGTGCCATAGGTTTGCCACCACTGGTCTAGGGTCTCCTGCTTGAGCAGGGGGTTGGACTAGAGGACCCCCAAGGCTCCTTCCAACTCTTGATTCTGTTATCAACCTTCCTCAACCTGGCGTGGTGGGATTGTCTTTCCAGAACTTCCCGGAGAGCATAAGGTGGGGGGAAGGTTGGATCAGAAGTGACCCCTTTGTCTGAAGCTCTGATCTCTGGCCTGGACCCTCGGACCCTGTTTTTGTACCTGGGCCTGGCATGGCCAAGAGGGGGTTGGTCACTTCGGCCAGGGTATGTCGCCTCTTCCCACTGCGAGATCCTTGCAGCGCTGCGAAGGCCTGGGCGGGATCCGCTTCCGCTTCCCCTTCCGCTTCTATCCCTTCGTCGATGGAAGTTTCCATCATGCTGGTTGGAAGCGACTGGCACCCCTTCCGAACCATCACCGGGGGAATGGGATCCAACAGGCAGCCGTTCACCTAATCACAGGGGGGAGAGAAGAGGCAGCCGGGTTGAGGAGAGGAAGCGCCCCCAAGCTACTCCTTTAGCGATGGGATGATCGATCGTCCTCAACTTCCAAGCATTCATTTAGCAACCCATTCGGACTTCAAACGGCACTGGAAAAACAGTCCTCGCACTTATGACTACTGCAACGCGCTCTACATGGGGCTACCCTTGAAAAGTATTCGGAGACTACAGTTGGTCCAGAATGCAGCCGCGCGAGTGATAGTGGGTGTTCCTCGGTACACCCACGTTACACCTATCCTCCGCGAGCTGCACTGCTTGCCTATTGGTCTCCGGGTCCAATTCAAGGTGTTGGTCATTACCTTTAAAGCCCTATATGGCTCAGGGCCAGGCTATTTGCGAGACCGCCTACTACCTCATAGTTCCCTACGTCCAGTTAGATCCCACAGGCTGGGCCTCCTTCGGGCCCCGTCGGCCAAGCAGTGCCATTTGGCGGGGCCGCGGAGGAGGGCCTTCTCTGTGATGGCGCCCACGCTTTGGAATCAGCTCCCCCTGGAGATTAGGACCGCTCCCACCCTGTTGGTCTTCCGTAAGCTACTTAAGACCTGGCTTTTCCGGCAGGCCTGGGGTTTATAAAATCTGACCCCTGGATGATTGTTTTTGTATTGTTGTTTTGTTATGTTTTATGTGTTTTTTATTGTTAGCCGCCCAGAGTCCTTCGGGAGTGGGGCGGCTTATAAATTTTAAAAATAATAATAATAATAATAATAATGACAATCAAAGTACCTCCCATGATCATAGGACCAAAAATAGGGCTGATTTAAAAGAGCCCTGGTGGCGCAAAGCTTAGAATGCGGCATGGTAGGCTAATTCTGCCCACTGCCAGCAGTTCGATCCTCAATGGCTCCATCCTTTCATGGTCGGTAAAATGAGGACCCAGATTTTTGGAGACTTAGTAACACAAATTCTGGGCTCAATTGTTGTCATAAATCGAGGACTAAAAGTACCTCTAAGGCAGAGGTCCCCAACCTTTGGGGCCCCAGCGACTGGTTCCGTGGAGAGAGGTTTTCCACGGATCGAAGGGGACGTGGTTTTGTGTGCTACCTGCATCCTGAGGATGGGGCTTTGCTTGTTTGTGCGGACTGGTTGCTGGCATGCTGCAGCCCGGTACTGGTCCACGGCCCGGGGGTTGGGGACCCCTGCTCTAAGGGGCTGTAGCTTGGCAAATCCAAAATAAAACGGCACACAACACAATCCCCCTGCAGAGCGAGATGCCCTTACTTTGGGTGTGTCGACTCTCTCTTCTTCCATGAAAGTTGATTCCACCTGGCAGACGGATCTGGGGAAGGAGAACGCTTCTACTGTTGGCGGGAGGCCAGGAGACCTTCGTAGCCTCGCGTTTGGAGAGTGCAAGTTTACAGGAGCCACAGAAGCCTGTGACGGGCGAGAGAAAAAGGCTGTCAAAAGCAGAAGCCAAAGGAAACCAGGAAGTTCAAGGACGCTACGACAAACAAAAAGGAGAGAAAAAAAGAAATCTGACTTAAACTGAGAAGAAGGAAGACAGAAGAGGTTAAAGTGCCGCAAGCAGCTTCTCCCAAGATGGAGGCTCTCATTACAACTGAACTGAAAGATGGCAGTTTGGTCCATTGGTGCTGCTGCCCGGCCACTGACTGAAGTTTTATCCTGCCCAAATCTCACAAAAGCTCAGAACTTGAAGCGGTCCATGCAATTTCCATACTGACTCTACGCAGAAGGAACCAGGAAACCTTCTCCAAGGCCTAACCCTCCACATATAAGGCATTTGTCTCCTGGAGTGTGGAAGGGAGTTGGGACAAAAGGGGAAGAAGCAAGGAGATATCCATCAGCCAGCTGTCAAGAGAGTTCAGGGCAGATGTGGCAGACGTTTTCATGGGGGCTTCTGGGTGGTCTACATTTAGTAAACATTATTCAGATCTGGCGGTTTCTGCAGTCAAGGGGAAGAACCACTTGGGCCCGAGATCGGGGTTTCTCAAACACGGGAACTTTAAAGATGGGTGGTCTTCAAACTCCCAGAATTCCCCAGCCAGCCACGCTGACTGGGGAATTCTGGGGATTGAAGTCCACCCATCTTTAAAGTTGCTGAGAGGATGAGAAATACTTCCTGAGATAGCGCCCCTTTCTGAAACAATATGCTTGCTCAGCAATACAGGATTTCCTGTCCATTTCCAGAAGCACATAGTGGTGGATCACGTGGACTTTTGTGACAGGTTTATTTCAAATGGGACTAGCGGGAGCTCTGGAGAACCGCTGGTGGCACGAGGGTTAGGTACGGACTGGGTTCGTACTCTGTCTCACTCGGCGAGCCTTCCGGGCAGAAAACCCCTGGCTTTTGCAGAGAGGACGAGAGCCCTCCTGCTCTTCTGTGTTCTAGATTGTCCAACTGTAGCTCTAGAACATAGCGCGGGCAATTACCTTGGCAACTGTCTGCTCGGCGATGGTGCTGGGTCGCCGCTGGCGAGAGTCTAACCTCTGATCGACGGGGAAGCTACTGCGGTGGGACTTCAGCCTCTCTACCAGCAAGTAATAGATAGCAGCAAAGTGATTGTAGCTCTTATCCTGCAGGGACTGAGAGAAGAAGAAGACAAGCGCCCGGGAGTTGAGTCGGGGCATTGGTTCTTCCCCAGCGTCCTTCGGGGCATCACGATCAGGCCTCCCCGATAGTTTGCTCCCTGGATGGTGCAGAGTTCCTTGAGTTATAACCCTTCGTTTAGTCACCCTTCCAAGTTACACAGCACTGGGAAAAGTGACTGATGACCGTTTTTCAAACTTGCGAAGATTACAGCATCCCCGTGCTCACGGGATCAAAATTCGGAGGCTTGGAAGTGGCATGTTATCTATGATGGTTGCAGTGTCCCCGGGGTCATGTCAGCTAGCTTGTTTCCTGGCAGACGTTTCGCCATCCAAACTAGGTAACGTGACCAGCACAGTTGAGGTTCCCTAGTTGGGTCGCGAAACGTCTGCAGGAAAAGAAGCAAGCTCAGAGAGCACCAAGGAGTTTTCATTTCAGCCCTGAGCTACACATAATTCTCCTTGATTGGCCTTTTGGGATCTTCTGACCAGCAAAGTCAATGGAGAAGCCAGACTGATTTACTAACTTAAGAAGTGCAGTGATTCGTTTAACAACCACGGCCAGCAAGGTGGTAAAATGGGGCATTTAACGACTGTCTTGCTTAGCAACAGAAGACTTGGGGCTCAGTTGTGGTCCTAAGTCAAGGACAACCTGTATTTTTCTGCTCTGGTTCCAGCGGGGGGGGAGGGGGGAGAGGGGCCGCAGGGGGGATTTTCCCAGAGGCCGGAGAAGTGGCAGAGAAGTGGCCCTATGGAATCACAAGCCCATCTCTTCGGGGAACCCGCGCTGCAGCACTGTGTTCCTGCCCTAATCGGACACAGGCAGCCCTTGACCACAACGGAGCCCAAAATTCTGTTGCTAAGTGAGACATTTGTTAAGTGAGTTTTTCCCCCTTTTACGACTTCTCTTGCCACGGTGGCGAATTGCCGCAATTGTTTAAGTCAGTAACCCGGTTGTTAAGCAAAACTGGCCTCCCCATTGACTTTGCTTGTCAGATGGTTGCAAAAGGGGGAATTGCAGGACCCCCCGGGATACGGCGACCGTCGTAAACACGAACTGCTTGCCAATTTTGATCACGTGACCCTGGGGCTGCTGCAAGGGCCATAAGTGTGAAAAACACTTAAAAGTCATTTTTTTCCCCAGGGCTGTTGTGATTTCAGTCCTTAAATCAGCTGTTGTTGAGGACGGCATGTAGGGGTACCCAACCATTTCCGCGCAATGGGGGATAATGGGGGGCTCTACATCCTGTGGCGGCTGCAGCTTTTCCAAAAACCCCCTTTTGCAGAGGGGAGCTCAGCCCCCCAAACTCAGATCTTCTGATTCCGGCAAAAGCAAAACCCAACCCCGGCTGGGTCTCTCTAACTGAGGATCTCGGTTTCATTGACGTACATCCTCCCCCCACTCCTAACCTCCCCCCCCCCCCAAACCCCAGCCGGAGTTGCTGGCAGGAAGCATTAATATCGCAGGCTCCACATCGGCTAAAAATATCGAGCCTTCTCAGGAAGTGATCGCACGGAGTCCCCGCTGGGAGCAGTTGAGCATTTATTTCTGGAACGGCGCTTGGTTTGGAATCCTAAGCCGAGAGGCCGAAAATAAAAGGGGCAACTTGCGGGCTTTTTAAGCTCTCGCCCTCAGCTCTCGACCGGCAGAAGCTGAGGGCGAGAAAAAAAAAAAAAGAGGGTTTCACTTCCTGTTTTCGTCAACTCCTAATTCCCAGAACTTCCCCAAACTTCTTGGACAAACAATGCCCACTTGTACTTTTGATGCTAACTTCTGACGTGAAGGTGTAAGAACCGTTCCTGCATTGAAGCATGAGGGATAAAACGTTCCTGCCAACAATCAGAACTGGCCCTTTGAAGAAAATAGTGATGCGGTTGTCTGGAGCGAATTTCCAAAGGTTAGGGAAAAACCGACATGAAAGGAAAAGTACATGTTTTTTTTTTCCAATTCCTATATATATATTATTTCCCCAGAATTACACAATAAACCAGAGCAACAATGGAAATCCATGTTAACAAAGCATCCCCCTCCCCCGACATTTTGGAAGCCTAAGGGAGCTAATCCTCAACTTTCAATCACAATCGGGACCAGAATTTCCACTGCTCAAGCAAGGCAGTTGTTAAGGCACTAACATTTTTGCCACGTTTGTTACACGAATCACTGCAGTCGTTAAATGAATCGTGAGGTCATTAAGCAAATCCAGCTTGCCCCATTGACTCTGCTTGTGAGAAGGCTTTGCTCTTGCGACTTGGGGTGATCGCAGGATGTGGCATCCATTGTCATATCTGCCCGTTGTCCAAGCTCCCAAATTTTGATCGTGTGACTGTCGGTCATAAGTGCAAGGACTAGGTAAGTCACTTCTTTCAGTGTCACTGCAACTTCAAATGGTCGCTAAAAGAATGATTGCAAATTGAGGGCTACTTGTAAGTGGGATTATTTTTATTCTGCAATTATTTTACTAAAGCAATGAAAGCGTTTGGGCCCTCCGGCTGCAAATATCTCCCCCCAAAAGCCTGAGGGTGAAATAAAATCATGTTTTCGCTTGCAGAACAATAATCCAAGAGGTTAAATCAGGAGCCTCCAAACTTGGCAGCTTTAAGACTTGTGGACTTCAACTCCCAGAATTCCCTAGCCGGCCACGAAGTCCAGATATTTCAAAGCATGCTGGCTGAAGAATTCTGGGACGTGAAGTCCACCCATCTTCCAGTGGCTAAGATTGAGAAATAGGGGTCCGGCTGGGGAATTCTGGGAGTTGAAGTCCACCTGTCTTAAAGCTGCCAAGTTTGGAGGCCCCTGAGTTAAATCCTCGCTCTTTGCCGGAGACTCTTTTACCTCGATGGTCTTTTGCTGGTCAATCCCCAGGCTGTGCATCAACCGCAGGACCTGCTCGTTGTATTCTCCGATAGAAGGTCCGTTCTCTTGCCCCTGGGAATAGAGAGCGGGCCTTTGGACCGGAACCTCTATTAGCATCCACTTGTGATCCTTAATCTGGGCAATGCTGAGTCTCTTGGATGGATCCAGAACCAGCATCCTCCGGATGAGATGCTCGCACTCTGCACAGGCCCCCAAAACGAAAAAGAGAGTTGGATACAGGAAGGAAGGAAGAGCATCTGGGTCAGAGATGACCCCAACTCCAGGGCCATCGTTACATCGTCTATACATGAAAAGCCCTTAAAACAGGTGATCCTCCTTTAGCGGCCGCTACTGGGACCAGCAAGTCCATCGCTAAGTGACAGGGCCATTAAGTGAGACATCACAGGACCGGGAGTTTCAATTTCACTGCCCACCTCTCTGCCTGTCAGAAGCCAGATGTGAAGGACTAGGGCAGTGGTGGCGAACCTACGGCACGGGTGCCAGAGACGGCACTCAGAACCCTCTCTGTGGGCACACGCGCCGTCGCCCCAGTCCTAGGCCTTCAGCTGGGTTTTATAAAACCTTTTCGCTTTAGGCCTCTGCCGCCATGTACAAAAAAAAAAAAAAAGCTTCAATCAATCAGTCAATTTCAACTTCTCGCAGGGAAAAAAAAGATCTTGCAAAGTTGGAATTGATTGATTGAACTTTTTAGTCCCATCCAGTCTGCCATTACCACTGCAGCCACACCCACCCAATGGGGCACACCTACCCAATGGGCCACACCCACCCGGCACCCGACAATGCATAAGTGGGTTTTGGGTTGCAGTTTGGGCACTTGGTCTCTAAAAGGTTCGCCATCACTGGACTAGGGTGAGGGAAGCTCTGCTCTTTGTGAGGATGGACATCACTCTGTATCCCTGTGCAAATTCTCCCTGTTTTGGCCAAACAATTTCAGAGTATTATTATCAAAGATCAGTCAAGTTGCCCGAAGGCCCCCTCCCCCCCAATATGGATCTTTGGGACTTCTCGTCCCTTGCTACCTCCACCACCTGCAGCATATGAGAGTCTGCAGGGAATGAAGGCGGAAAGACCTGTAAAGGATCTGTGGCTGTTACCTTCAGACATAAAGTAGGGGATACGGAACCTTCCTTCCAAAACTCGCTGCCTCAAGATGGGGAGGGTCGGTCCATCGAAAGGCAAAGCTCCACAAACTAAGACGTAAAGGACTACACCCATGCTCTGCAAGAGAGAATCGGTTGATCTGAGATCAGGGAACAGAAGATGTCATCACCACAACTCTGCTCCAAACACAGTAGTCATCTCGTATCATATTTCCTTCCCTCCCTCTCCCTCCCTTTCCTTTCCTTCCCTCCCTTCTCTCCCCCTCCCTTTCCTCCCTTCCTTCCTTCCCATCTTTCATTTCCCCTTCCTTCCTTCCTTCCTTCCTTCCTTCCTTCCTTCCTTCCTTCCTTCCTTCCTTCCTTCCTTCCTTCCTTCCTTCTTTCCCTTCCCTTCCCTTCCCTTTCCAATTTTGCCACCTCTGGCAGAGCCTTACTCTGAACAGCTCTGGTTCACATCAAAGCCGCCTTTAGAGACCAACACTGGCCAGTTTTGTCTGTCCACCAATCCCCTGCTCCAATGCACATTCTTTCCTTCTGGGATCCAAAGGCAGGATGTTTTTGTTAGCAGCCTAGCCAAGACAACAGCTCCTGCCATTAATCCTGATTGTTTTGGCACTTTTGCAGAGAGCGTGAGGTGCAGTCACCCCCCCCCCGTTTGGGGTGTGCAGAGGGTTCACTTGGAAGTGAGGGGCAGGGAGCATGGGGGAGGGGGAGAGGACGGTCTCACGTTGGGACCCTGCCCTGCTTCTGAAGGAGCAACTTCTAAGGTGGCCTTTGGCCCTTGAGGGACCCTCCCTACATCCGCCCTCCAGGCCTGCAACGGACATCAGCAGAGGAGGCTCCAGACCGTTGTGTTCTTTTCCCCTCACCTTGCATGACTCAAAAGGCCAGGAGACTTTGCCTCCAAATCCTTAAGAGCCAGCGCAAGCTTCTGCAGAAGCCCTGCTAATCTCGGGAGATGCTCAGATCCAATTAGCAGGGAGGAAGACAGGGCAGCAACCCTGACCATGCATTAAAAAAAGGAAGGCCCTGGGCTCTGCTAGGTGTCCTCTTGGGTGTCTTTTTCCCTCAAGAGCTGCAAGAAGGAAGAAGGCACAGGGCGTAGTCTGACCCCAGCAACCAGACGGCCAAAGGCCAGACTTCCTTCTCCTCAGAAAGTTAGCAGCCAGATCCCTCCAGCCTTTGAGAATCTGGTTGGAAACCCCAAGGGGGAAGAACTAATCTGGACCAAGCTGTGTTGAAACACCAACACAGCTTGGTCCAGATGCTGGATGGAGAGAGGGCAAAGAAGGCGAATCAGAGTCAACTTTCTGCATTAGCTGAGCTGTTTCCTATCTTACAGGTTTCAACGGGAAACACTTTTGGACTCAACGCTCTCTCATGACAAGAAGGAGGTATTTTTAGCAAGTCAGAAAAACAAAAACCTACTGAGAAAAGGATCAGGATTTTTTTTTTTTAAAAAAAGAAAGCGCTTTGTTTAACATTATGCCAATACCCAAATGTCCAGCTGTGGCCCCTCGTACTGCTGGCCTTCAAAGACCTCGGGAGCTGCGTAAGGTGGACTTCCACACCACGTGGTCAGAGGCTCACCACTTTTGTAGAAGTTTCCAAACCCAAAATCTGCAGAGGAAGAAAACAAAAAACAAAAAACAGCAATAGATACTGTTCTACCTGGAAGATGTCAAGAAACACAAGCAGAAGATGACACTGGATTGATGTCCTACTGAGGGATTTCTCATGGGCCCTGACTTAACTGCTTGAAGAAACACAAAGCTGGTTCAGAAGAACCTTTTGTGGATCCAGCCCAACTCCTAGGCTCCAGATAATTTTGTGAAGAGTCTTTTCTTTCTAAGCTTTGGCATGTCCCGGGTTTCTTGAAGCCTAACCATCTACAATAGTGTTTCCCAACTCTAGCCATTTTAAGATGGATGGACTTCAACTCTCAGGATAACCCAGCCAGCATTAACCTACGGGAAAGTTACCTCTTTATCTGCCATGTTTCCTTCAGAAAAAACCTGGAAATCCCACAATTAGGTTCTAAGATCAGAGTAACAAGGACCCCGGAGCCTGTAACCAGCTGCCAGAAACCTCGTCTTTCCCTGCACACAGTACCTTCCCAGATGCTAAACTAAAGGAAAAATTACATCAATCTCCTCCCTCCTGGCTGTCAAATGTTAAGCCTCAACAGATCAGCAGGAGACGTCTCTCTTCCTGTTGCAAATCCAAATTCTAAGATATATTCGGCAACGGTGGAAGACCGCCAGTATCTGCTTGCTGGAATGCGCTTTGGGTCTCTTATTATTTTTTAAGAGAGAAGGTTCCATTTCATAACCCGCTCTCCTAAAAACCGATTCAAGTGCAATTGTTGGCTCTTGGGTACAAGAACGAATACTATGTGTGAACTGAATTGTATGAATAATGACCTGGAGGGGGTTAATGGACTAAGAATAAGACCCCGCCTGGGTGCATCTTGCTCTGTTCTTTCATCTTTTTTACCGCTAATATTTATTGTTCTAATGTTTTATTTTGCTGTTTTTATTGATCTCAAGCCACCTAAAGCAGTGGTTCTCAACCTTTTTAATGCCGTGATCCCCAACCGGTCGTAAGTCGAGGACTACTCAACTGGTCGTAAGTCGAGGACTACTCAACTGGTGCAGCACCGTTTGCAGAATGGGACGTTTGGCGGGCTCAGCAGGGCAGAGAGACAGCCTGGACAATTCCTATTGGCTTTTGAAAGCCAATAGAATTAGACTCTATTCAAGAGAGTCTATTTTATTGGCTTTCAAAAGCCAATAGAATAAAAGGGAGTAGCACAGCTAAGGAAAAGGGGAAAAAAATGGCGGACTGCGTTGTTTGGCGACCCCCGTGAAATGGTCGTTCGACCCCAAATGGGGTCCCGACCCACAAGTTGAGAACCACTGACCTAAAGTCACCTCTAGGCAAGATGGGTGGCATCTAATTTTAATAAATAAAATAATAAAAATTCTCCGGAGAATCCGCGCATGCGTAGATGCTCATGGATATATCAATGGTAGATAACTAGATGACCTCCTGAAGAACTGAAGTAATCTGCCCAGGTTCTTGACCCTTGGCCAGGATGGCTGAAGCTATAGGAAACAGGGTCTAACACATGTAGAAGACACCAGACTAACCCCAAGAGCCAAATTCAACATGCCTTAAAATCTGCCATGTCACTTAAGCATTTTTGTTTAAGCCCTATGGAAATCCCTCTCAACCTGAATGACCATTGGAGACCCAAGTCATTGTTTTTTTCCCCAAAAGGCAACTGGACTTTCTTGGTCTTATCTTTGAAAACGTTTTGCTTCTCATCCAAGAAGCTTCTTCAGTTCTTCTTGGATGAGAAGTGAAATGATTCCAAAACAAAAAACACCAAAAAATTTCCAGTTGCCTTTTTGGGAAAAACACATCTTTGGGACAAGCATGACTTGGAGGATTGAGAATCTCCATCTAACCACTGGAGACTTTGCTGATGCCTGCTGAGGATCCAAAACGAGGTTTTAGCAGACCTGATCCGATTCCCCATTCACTGCGTTTTCCCACCTTGCGATGCGATTCAAAAAGCTAAGCAGAGGACAGGCTGGCATTTCGAAAAGAGGCTACCCGTGGTGGCCTAGATCGGGAAGTTGAAACAAACATCTGGGAAGGGAAAGCCACTTTCCCACTGTTGCTAAGAAACTGCGTGGGACATCTGAGGAAGTCACCCGGCATCAGGCTTCTCCCTCTGTTTCATAGTGTTCCCTGCCTGGTTCAACCCCTCTGCATTTGCAAGTGCCAACATGGAAGCTGTAACCAGCTGGCTGAATGGACCATTTCTGGCCCCAAAATATATGTTGTTGCCGATCCAGCCCCAAGAAAACGGTCTACGTCTCCACCTTCTGAAGCGCCCGAGCAGTAGCAGAAAGAGCCGAGGTGGCGCAGCAGTTAGAGTGCAGTACTGCAGGCCACTTTAGCTGACTGTGTTCAGCAGGTCAGCGGTTCAAATCTCACCGGCTCAAGGTTGACTCATCAGCCTTCCATCCTTCCGGGGTAGGTAAAATGAGGACCCCAGATTGTTGGGGGCAATGTAAAATACACACACACACACACACACACACACACACACACACATTGCTTACTGGTGTACACCGCTTAGAGAGTGCTTGCACTTAAAGCGGTATATAAGTCTCATAAATAAATAAATAAATAAATAAATATAACTGGTGGCTCAAAAGGACAGAACTTCTAAGCCAGGGGTTCTCAACCTTGGCAACTTTAAGACTTGTGGACTTCAATTCCCAGAATTCCTCAGCCAGCAAAGCTGGCTGAGTTATTCTGGGAGTTGAAGTCCACAAGTCTTAAAGTTGCCAAGGTTGAGAACCCCTGTTCTAAGCGGAGAAGAAGCCAACTTTGAAAGGAAGGAACCAGAAGGGCTCGTTTGTCTCCTTTCACAGGTTAACGTCACCTGCCCAGCCAGCCTCCGGGGAAACAAGGGAGCCTGGGGCAGGGCGGTGTCAATTTGAACTAGCACAGCAGAGTGCTTGGTTGAAAAGCCTCCAGGAGACAAGGGAGCGTGCGTTTCATTTGTCTCAGCAGTTTGTTCTTTCGCACACTGCTGTCAAAAAGAGTCACAGGCCGTTGTTTGCAATGCCAGAACCTGGGTAGCTTTGCACAGTGCCCAGCTTGTAAATTCTGAGACTCTTTCGAAAGAGGTTGTCCTGATTTCCGTTGCACAAAGCACAGAGAGGCACAAATAAATTCTCTAATGGTGCTTTTGGCAGCCAATCGCCTCTCTCGCCACGTGTCTTTACCGTGTGGGAGTGTGTGTGCGTGCGTGTGTGTGTGAACATGCCTCTGCTCCCTGGTGCATTAGGAGAACCTGATGGGTAAATTTCACAGAGCTGTGGGGGTCCTTGGTGCCCTCTCAGATGTTTCGTTACCTGTCATGGTGACAGTATCAGCACTAAAAGGCCTTTGTATATACATCTCCCTCCCTTCTAGCTCTGAAGGTGTTCCCTAGTTGGGTCATAAAACGTCTGCAAAAAAACAAACAAAAACAAAAAACAAGTAAGCTCGGAGAGCCCCAAGGACTCCACAGTTCGACCCTGAGCCACACTTTTTCTGTGGGTTTTCACAGAGCTGCTTGCTTGGGCTTAGCCCAACAGTGCCATGCCATGTGACATTTATCATCAGATGCCAGGACGATAATTATACAGCCCTTACAAGACATCTTGCAGGCATCATCAAGACTTCACTTTGCATTAACGCTGGGTGGAAAAAGCAAGGAAGAATTTGTCTTATTAGGCAGCCAAAATGCCCAGTGGATTTTGCTGTTCTTGATACAAGGAAGTAGATTTTCCCTCCCTTTGTTCGTATCTAAGACTAAACCGTGTTTTAAGGTTACAAGGAACAGCTGCAGGGTGCCTTGATTTTAATCTCCACCTAGAGCATACACTTCACCTATATTGTCGTCCTAAATTATCTTCAATATCTGCTAGGATCAGCAAAAAGAAATCAGCTTCAGAAATGATAGCCTGAAGTCCTGATCAGGAAGTTAAAACAAGCTGTGATAAATCCAAAAACAGAAGTACAATTTGCAGTCCTTCTCTTCTTCTTCTTCAATTTATGCCAAACAAGATGTCACTAAAATCCAAGTCTCAGCTGTATCTTGTCTGGAGCCATGAGCATGGTTTCCCTGGCTAGCTTAAAAAAAAAAAAAACTGTCAAGGATGTAGCTGCCATTCCTTATTTTATTTCAGATTGTATTTTGGAGCTGAATTAAGTACTTGCCAAGAGTTGCAAAAATATCGATCCTTTTAACAGTATAAGATGGTCCTTTGCGAGCCTAGAGGTGACAATATTTTATCCAAACCCAACTGGGAACCAAGATTGTTTTCCATATCATGGTTGACTCTCCATTCAACCTACCCCAGATGCAAAATTAAATTACAATAATATATGTCCTCTGTTACGAAAGCCAGCTGCTTTTAAGTCATTTTAGCAAACCTTAACCATGGGTCCCCTCCCCCCACCCCCTACCCCAATTCTGAGCAAACGCTAAGATTCTTTCCTGGCTGTTATCTCATGTCTCCCCACCAAATCACCTCCCTCTAATCTTTTGGCATGAATCGAGGTCTTCTTCAAGAGCCATTGCTTGGAAATTTCCCCAACCAGATTATGCTCATTTCTGTTAAGATAAAATCACTGGCCTGTAGAACAGGGAATGCGTATTAGGGACCCAGTATCTCAAGTTCATGGGAAGACACAATCTTCAGCAATCAGCTTCTCCAGGTCAATATCTTAGGCACAGAAGCCCTTCTTCAAGCTACCTATTCCTAAAAGTGGTTCTGCTCTCTAAGCTCGCTGTGCTGGACAGTTGGAATTTTCTCCTGCAGGGGGAGAGAAAGGGGCACTGCCCTCCCCAAAGAGGTTGGTCTTGAAAGCTGCAATTATTTATTTATTTATGAGACTTATATACCGCTTTAAGTGCAAGCACTCTCTAAGCGGTGTACACCAGTAAGCAATGTATATATATATTTACATTGCCCCCAACAATCTGGGTCCTCATTTGACCTACCCCGGAAGGATGGAAGGCTGAGTCAACCTTGAGCCGGTGAGATTTGAACCGCTGACCTGCTGAACACAGTCAGCTAAAGTGGCCTGCAGTACTGCACTCTAACTGCTGCGCCACCTCAGCTCTTTAAAAAAACGAGTCCTGCATTTGGCAAGGCTGAAGGTGAGGGTTAGGGCTGCCTGGAGCAATGACCAGCCTTTGACCATCCAGTTTCCCATCGCAACGTTCATACCCTTCTCCTTTCCCACTCCAGCCTTCAGAGTTAACTGCTTTTAATTTTTGAGACCCAATATGAAAGGTTGGCATTTCTGTTTAGGTCGCAACTGGGCTGCTTGGAAAGGAAAAATGCAGCCGTTGGAATCCTGCGTGGTCCAAAGGAGAGTCACTTGAGAACATGGATCTGTTGGGGAGCAAGCGCCCACTTGTTCAGCTTCAGCAAGAGAGGAAACGTGGATCTTTTGTAAGCTGGGAGCGTGAATCAGGGGCAGCTTACGAAGAGAGGTGCTGATTGAGTGAAAAGCACTGGAGAGGAATAAAGGTGACCCAGGGCAGGATCGGATTTCTAATCCGTGGGCTGCTGGGTGCTCTCTGAGCTTGGCTGCTTTCTTGCAGACGTTTCGTTAGCCAACTAGGTGAGCACTGCTAGCACTGATGATGTTACGTAGCTGGGTAATGAAATGTCTGCAAGACACCAGCCAAGCTCGGAGAGCCCCAAGGACCCCACAGTCCTCCTCCTTCATTCTGGAAATCCTGCTCCCTTCTAGCATGGATAATGGTACCTAGTTAACAGAATGACAGAGTTGAAAGGGACCTTGGAGGTCTGTTACTTCAACCTCCTGCTCAAGCAGGAGACCCTAGACCAGGAGTAGGGAGCCTTGGCTCTTTTATGACTTGCGGACTTCAATACCCATAATTCCTGAAGCAGCCATGCTGACTCAGGAATTCTGGGCATTGAAGTCCACAAGTCATAAAAGAGCCAAGGCTCCCTACCCCTGCCCTAGAACCATTTCAGACAAGTGGCTGTCCGATCTCTTCTCGAAAACCTCCCGGGATGGAGCACCCACAACTTCTGGAGGTTTCTGGCAATGAAACATCTACAAGAAAACAATCAAGCTCAGAGAGTGCCAAGCAACCCACAGTTCAACTGAGCCACAAATATTCTCCTCTAATCACTGATCACCCTGCTCTGACATCAAGGCGACATCTCGAGATCACTGCTCATGGTGGACCTTTCAAATGAGGCCCGTCTCACTCCTCCAGTCCTTGAAATGGCCCAACCGCCCTCTGGCTAACACTGATTTTCACAAAGTCCAGCAGTCTTAAGAGTTCCTTGCAGCACAAAAGTGGGTAGGTTGTAGAGTAATACTCTTCCCCTTTGCCACCTGTATTTCATGGGATTTCATGATCACCATTTCTCTCTCTCTGATGCATCCGTTCCTGCTTCTCTATTGCTGTCAATCTCTACGGAACTCAGTGCCAGCCGTTCGGAGTTCCTCCTTCTTGCAACCAAACGTTCTCTGCAGAAGTTGCCAGAAATCTTTTCTTCCAAGAACTTGACAGCTTTGCAGAATTCTCAGAAGCTCAAACATCTCCCACTTTGAATTCCTCTCATTTTTTTTTTTTTAAAAATCCTAATCAGGCAATCCGAGACTCCTTTGCATTATACAGAGGTAAAGGAAAATTATCCCACTGCAACAAACATCTGCTGTATTTAAATTTGTAATTAAAATGGAATCAAGCGTGCTAAAATAACCAGAGAGTTTCCATTTTGAGTTGCTGCTTCTTCTAACCCCAAAATTAATTAATTTGATTGTAACCTGCACATCTGGCAGGGATAGTGGGTTGCCATGGTGCTGCAAACAGGAGTTAACTTGACAACATTTGAAATGACTCTAATTTTGCCAAGAAGAGAAGAAAAGGTCAAGCAGGAGCCATTTTTAGCACGACCTTAGGGCCAATTTTATCTAACCCTCATGAGTGCAAGTGGGACCTTCAGCCGAGTTCTTCTATCGTTCATTTTGCTTTAGGATCATCCAGGAAATTGCCCCCCCCCCGCCCCATGAAGAAGCTATTAACATGTGGAATACCTGCTATCTTAATATTCATGTTGTTATCAAGCAGGAGGTTCTCCGCTTTGAGGTCCCGGTGCACGATCTTCCGGCTGTGACAGTATTCCACAGCCGAGAGGATCTGCCAGAATTTGCGCCTGGCATCCGTCTCGCTCAAACGTCCACGATTGGCCAGGTAATCTGTGGAAAGATGAAATGCGAAAGGTGAAATTGCAGAGAAGGGGAGCTCAGGAGGTGCTTCTCCCTGGTCCCCAGTGGGTCTCTCCTCCCTCCCAAATTTGGAAGTCGGGGACAGCAGGAGAGGATGCTGTTGCTGTGAGACTCCACAGCTAGGTGAACAAGGGCCTGCATTTGTATGCGCAACTGCCTGCTGGGCCTGATGAAAACAAGACAAAGAGAGCGGGCAGTTCTTCCCTGGAAGAGGGAACCTCTCAGCCTTTCCTCCCAGGACGTTCTGTCCCAGCTCCAAGGACTCTAAAAGGATTGCTTGGAGGCCACCTGGAACTTCCTATGTGTGCATGGGAACATGTAAGGTGGGGTGGCAGAGAGAGAAAGGGAGAGGGAGGGAGGGCAGGAGGGAGGGAGAGAGAGGGAGGAGAAGAGGGAGAAACAGAGAGGAGGGGGGGAGAGAGAGGAAGGGAGAGAGGGAGGGAAGGAGAGAGGGAGGGAGGGGGAGAGGGAGAAGGGGGAGGGACAGAGAGAGGAGGGAGGGGGAGAGAGGAAAGGAGAGAGAGGAAAGGAGAGAGAGGAAAGGAGAGAGAGAAAGGGAGAGCAGGAGGGAGAGAGAGGGAGGGGAAGAGGGAGAAACAGAGAGGAGGGGGGGAGAGAGGAAGGGAGAGGGAGGGAGGGAAGGAGAGAGGGAGGGGGAGAGGGAGAAGAGGGAGGGACAGAGAAAGGAGAGAGAGGGGGAGAGAGAGAAAGGGAGAGGGAGGGAGGGAGGGGGAGAGGGAGAAGGGGAGGGACAGAGAGAGGAGGGAGGGGGAGAGAGGAAAGGAGAGAGAGGGGGGAGAGAGAGAAAGGGAGAGGGAGGGAGGGAGGGAGGGGAAGAGGGAGAAGGGGAGGGACAGAGAGAGGAGGGAGGGGGAGAGAGGAAAGGAGAGAGAGGAAGGGAGGGAGGGGGGGGAAGAGGGAGACAGAGAGGAGGGAGAGGGGGGGAGGGAGGGGGAGAAAGAGACCTCAATGCTTTCAGCCCTCCTTAATGCTGTAGGGGTTTTTCCAGGAAGCAGTCAATCCAGGCTCAACCCAGCCATTAGCCTCTCTACCGAACCAAGAGGGCTTCTGCTGCAAGTGAAGCCAGGCCTTTTCTTTTGACTTTTTTCTTTTTTTGTTTGTTTTGCAACCTTGGCACAGCAGCTGACTAAGGACCCAGCCGGGTGTCCTGGCCTTACCCTGCTGTACCTTCCTCCGGGTCTGTTCCATATTCTAACAGGGCAACTGGGTGCTTGGTGAAACCACAAACAGGAAGACGCTAGAGCGGAAGTCTTAAGGAAGAGCTTTGGTGTCTCTTTTCACATTTGGTTACAAGATTATTTTTCTAAACTGCGCTCCCCCCCCCCAAAAGCCAAGTTTTAAGGTCTTTCTGGAACCCCAGGAGACCAGGAGAGACGCCAGACAAGGTCTGTTTTCTAGATCCCATTAAGATGCCCAGATGCTCAGCGACCAAACGGCCTTTATTAGAAAGGTCAATCTTTCATTTCAGAAAGCTATCCTTTAGATTTATTTATTTTTCAAAAACTCACTTTTGCCCTTTATTTTGGGCCATTTGCAAATGGTACCACTTAATGCCTGCTCTTTCACATTCTTGCAAAACATGTGAAAATGGAGTTGCCCTTTAAAAAATAAATTTGCATCATATGCCGTTTGATTTTTCAATGCCTTTTTATTAGAATAGGGCCTTTTGTAAATTTTTTTCCTGGGATTTGCCCTTGAATTTTTTTCCTTGCAAAGTTCTAAATGTAAACAACTTAAAAAAAATTATCCTCTTTCAGATTTGCCCTTTATTTTTCCCAACAAAATAAGGTCATCTACTTAGGAGAGAATTGGAACACAAGACCCCAGCCCAAATGGGCCAGAAACAATAGGAAAACAGTATCTTTCAGGTGACTCTGTTGTAAAACCATGAGCACAATCACACTGCACCTCTGTTCATCACACAGTTTCAGCAATACAGCTAGTCCTCAATTTACAACAGTTCATTTAGTGACCATTCAATGTTACAACGGCACTGAAAAAGGTGACTTACGACCGTTTTTCACACTTATGACCATCCCCACGGTCACGTGATCAAAATTTAGATGCTTGGCAAGTGAGTCATATTTATGACGGTCGCGGCGTCCCAGAGGGTCACAGGATCCTCTTTTTGTGACCTTCTGACAAGCAAACTCAATGAGGGAAGCCAGCTTCACTTGCCAGGAGTGCCCAAGTGGTTTCACTAAAACCCATGGGGGGGGGCTGCTGCCTCTTTAACAGGGGTCTTCAAACTTGGCCCTTTTATGACTTACGGACTTCAACTCCTATAACTGGCTGAGGAATTCTGGGAGTTGAAGTCCGCAAGTCCTAAAAGGGCCAGGTTTGAAGACCCCCTGCTCTTTAAGATGGTTTATTCCAGTGTTTCTCAACCTTGACAATTTTAAGGCATGTGGACTTCAACTCCCAGAATTCCACAGCCAGCAATGTTGGCTGTGGAATTCTGGGAGTTGAAGTCCACATGCCTTAAAATTTCAAGGTTGAGAAACACTGGTTTATACAGACTGGGTGGATGCAATCTCCAAAGTTGAAAAAGTCATGACCTTCTATGGTTCTGTGTGGGTGTGTGCATATGCGTGAGTGAGTGAGTTTCTTCAGAAGTGGACAGTTATCACAGCCGCCTAGCAGCTCCACCGAGAAAAAAGAAAAGGCAGGGGGGAAATCCAGGTTTGTGTTCACAACATGCCAGCGGAGGAAAGAAAGGTCATTTCTAAGGCCCTTGAGAAAACACCGTGGATTATTTCTAATTGCTTTCGAAAGCAATTTTGAGAGAGAACGATTTGCAGAACGCACTTATAAAATGAAAAGGCACTTTGTTCTTTTCAAGCATACTTAATTAGCTAGGCTGGGGGGGGGGAAGAGAAATTGAAAGTCTTTTTTTAAAAAAGAAGAAGAAGGAACGGGGAGGGAGAGAAGAGAAATTGAAGTATTTTTTTTTAAAAAGATACATACATACATACATACATACATACATACATACATACTGCACCAAACTGCAACTCCCCAGGAAGAGATCAAAGAGGCTGATTTTTTTTCCCCAGCATAAACAAAAGGAGATGATGTAACCATGGATGCCAGCCCCGCTTGCCTTTGCAATAATCTCACCGTCAGATCTGATTAGTGGTTTTACTTACAGATTTCAGACAAACGGGTTATGCAATTACCATACACCAAAGAAAGTTGGCCTAGAATTCTCCTTTGTCAATAGGGTCAAGTTTGGGGCAACCCCTCCCCAAAAAAACCTCTAACAGGCAGTCCTGTTGGGATAGGGATGATAGAGCGCTCCCCCATTTTGTATTCCTTCTGATGTTTGTTATTTATGTGATGCCTTGCAAAGTGACTTGTGTGTTGTGTTAGTTTTTGTACAAGGTGCAAAGGGTAAGGAAATCAGCGCTGAGCCGACTTCCCCAGTAAGAGGATCTTTAAGGGCTGAATTTGGTCCTTTTGGGGAAGTTGATTAACTCACCAGTGTAATGTTTTTTAATCTTAGCAGCTTGAAGACGGGTGGACTTCAACTCCCAGAATTCCCCAGCTCTGCTGGCTGGGGAATTCTTGGAGTTGAAGTCCACGGGTCTTCGAGATGCCAAGGTTGGGAAACACTGAATTAGTTTTTTTTTCTTGCTGTCTCCCATCCCGGCCATGCTTATTTCCTTTAAGAGAATAAAAAACCAGCTTTAAAAGAGGACCAGTATTATAAAGCAAATTTATGTACCTTGCTCCATAAGCCTTGCTTCATGCCTTACACAGGTGAATTCCCCCCTGGTGAATGACCGGATCAGATAGGTGATCCAAAGTCATGCCGTGTGTGTGTGTGTGTGTGTGTGTGTGTGTGTGTGTGTGTGTGTATGATGGCCCCTAAAAACTTCCATGGAGCAGCCTTCTCCTTGAAGGTCAATGAGTCTCTATCCTGCTAGCCTTCCAAAAAACATTTCGGACCTGGCTCCCTCCCGCCAACCCCTCAAGTGCTGGGGTGAAATGAGGTGGACGAGAGAGGATTTAACTATGGACTGGACAGGTAATCCCCATTTAATGCCTAGGCAACATTATGATAGCACCTGAAAATGTGACTTATGACTGGTCCTCAGACATATTTATTTATTTATTTATGAGACTTTAAGTGCAAGCACTCTCTAAGCGGTGTACACCAGTAAGCAATGTATATCTATATTTTACATTGCCCCCAACAATCTGGGTCCTCATTTTACCTACCCCGGAAGGATGGAAGGCTGAGTCAACCTTGAGCCGGTGAGATTTGAACCGCTGACCTGCTGAACACAGTCAGCTAAAGTGGCCTGCAGTACTGCACTCTAACTGCTGCGCCACCTTGGCTCATATGACTGTTGCAGTGTCTCCACAGTCACAGGATCAAAATTTGGGCACAAGGCAACCAACAACTATTGCTAAAATAGTGTGGATTCATTTCCCCAATTTTTTTTAAAAAAATGGTGATGATCATTAATGTTTTCCTAAGTTTGAAGAATTATCATCATCATCATTATCATCATTATCATCATCATCTTTTATTCATTAGACATGAATCTCAGTTAACTGAACATTCAAATTGGCTGGTGCTGTAACATTGCTGGAGTTATTGCAGGAAGCTGCAGTTTCTTGCTGTATTTTGCAAAGTTTTTGGACATAGTTCCCAGTGCCCCAATGACAATGGGTATCACTGTTTCACGTTTCATCCGTAATCGCGCAGTTTCAATGGCCAGGTCGCGATATTTTGTAATTTTTTTCCAGTTCTTTTTTTGACTCTGGCATCTTCTGGTACAGTTATATCAATCAGCTGTACACTTTGGTTCTCTATAACTGCGATATCTGGCGTGTTGTGTTCCAAATGGTGATCTGTCTGTATTCAAAAGTCCCACAAGATCTTCACCCTCTCATTCTCAACAACTTTTTCCACTCTATGTTCCCACAACTTTTCAGAC